CAACCGAGCAATTTCACTGACTTAACTTTATTCGATTGGGTACGGGTACGTGGTTTTTTGTGCAGAACTGTTGCTGCCGAAGTATCTAGGCGAACTAACTTCCTACCGTGGTACCGATCACCTATTTCTACCATTTCTTGCGTGTGGTGCGTATGTGTATGTAAGTAGTGTATATAAAGAGTGATCAACGATCGGTTCGGTATGACGATCTATTCTCTACCTTCTTGCATGTTACATTTAGATTGCTTTCAATTCATTGAGGGTACAGTAGTAATAGTGGACGTTATTTCATTAGAATTAAGTTTAGGATAACTTCAACAAGATACAACAAATTTAACTGAATGCTAGCTTAAGCAATTCCTAATTTAAGCTTGTTTTGATCCCTAACAACTTTGTTTCAGACGTCATTTCGATCAGAAATGCAGTTTCCGGACTACAATTTTTTGACAAATTTCAAAGGCACCATTTTGAAAATTTTGCAAGGTCCAAAATGGTCGAATTTTAGCAAAAACTTGAATCATTGCCCGTAACAAACAATTATGCAAATCGGAGAAGGTCGAGTTTTTTTCCGATTCGTCAGTTTGTGTGGAACTGCTCAATGTTCTTATAAATTTTCATTAAAATAATTTCCCTTCAGGGTTCCTTTTAGAATCCATTTAAAACAAATGTTACTCCCTTGAATATTTCTTAATAACAGTGCACAAATTCTATGCAGAACGTTCCCTTCGAAAATCATGAATTTCTCTTTTCTATATTCTTCTCGCAATGCTGTTGTAATTATCCTCGGAATACCATTGAAAATCTTCTCGGAAATCAGCACCCTTTGTGTTCAGCTCTGAATTCTTTTGGAACTTCAGAATTGACTTGAAATTATTTTTGAAATGACAATGGAATTTGATCTAGAATTATTTTGGAACTATCCTCAGAATTCAATACCCACGGAATGTCTTTGAATTAAATTATTCTCAGAACGTATTAGAAATCTTTCCAAAACTCCTTTGGATTTTTTCTCGGAAATACTTTGATGCTATCCCACTGCATTTTTTAAAGATTTCCTGAATTTTTAATAAGAGAAATTATTATAGACCACAGATAAATGAAGTCAAATTCAGAGAAACTCCAGAAACTTTAATTTTTATAACTCGATGTTATTCAGTGGTCCGTTAATTTTTCTATGTTTCTTACTTTCTTTGGTCTACACTGAAAAAATCCCACCCGTCTTATCGGATTGTTTTAACACTTGATTTTTCAAATTCACTATCACATTTATTTAAAGTGTATGTAACCTGTGTTATACACGTTGATTTATAATGTTTTAAACTTTGAGTTGTTGAAAATCTTTCACTATCAGTTCAAGTGTATTGTGCATTGAATCACACTGCTGTTCAAAACAGATGGATTTAAAGTGTTTCGCATTTCAATGCGATGTCAATTGCTTGTTCTGCAAGAGTTGTGACTTCATTCTTATCAACCAGCCCAACTGTGGTCCCGGGCGATCGAACGAAGACATCGGTAGCAGCACACACTAACAGTTCTCAGGATCGAATCCCTAAATCTGATCCATTAAAAAAAGGCATGTGTGTAAGCTCTGCTCTCTGGCAGCTTTGATTATATATTTAGCGAATCATGTTTAGAGTCGGTAAAGCAGAAATCGATAAAGTAGAATATTGTCGAACATTGAACCAATAATCAATACGAAACTAACGATTTTAAATTGGCTCACTACTCGACTAGCCTATTGATCCCAAGCAAACGATTAACGTACCCCATTCTAGTCGAAATTCTAGTACTACACAATGATTGTTTTGATTTTCCATGCCAGTTTGACAGATAAAATGAGGGGTTAGTGGATTTTCCTATGTTTCGAGGGGTGAAACGATTAGCTTAGGACCGAAGAGAGTACCAGAGCTGAGCCAAAAAGTTGAGCACGTTTCTTCGGGACCTTCTAGTCTTAGAGTTACCTCTATGTTTGAACTGTGATATGCAAAGCTAATGATATCACCATGTGAGGCACATATATACCAAATGCGTTTAAATTCGAATAATGCTTGGGAGCTTCGATTTACACTCTTGAACAACTTGCGAATGTTATGTCTGTTTATCTGTGCTTGGACTTAGATTGGGAATACTATGCAGAACAGACGTTGAGGCTCGAACAAAATTTCTCTAAAAAATAGTGTAAAGATTCCTATTCGAGTTGAGCGCCACTAACGGCGACTTTCCCACTTGAAAACCCATAGAAATAAATTCAATTCAATAAAGAACTTATTGAAAAAAAAACAGATGATTTCTAATGTGACTAAATCCAGCATTCCTACTAAAATATTAAATAACTGTGCTTAATCATTTATTATTAGTACAGAGCAATAAACAATGTGCGGTGATGTAATCTGTTAATATGCTTTTATAAGCTGGTTCAAATGCACTTTTGGTAAGCATGAACACTGATCTGGCAACACTAGTGTGCATCTTTCCAATGTGGTAAAGATCCAGATCAGCCCTGGGACCTGGTAGCCTAATTAAACTACCTCAAGGTTTTGCCAAAGCCCAGGGATTTTCATTTCGACCGTATTTTCCATTCAAAAACAATTGCAAAAAAAATTTATAGGTCAAATTTATGAAATCTTGGCTGTTGGTTGATCAAACATTTTGGGCTTGATTGGCTGATCTATATTAAACTTGAGCAATTTTAGTAAAACTAGGTCCCCTTCACTCTTTGGAATGTATAGAGACAAATAACAGCGCCAAATGTTTTGTGACGAGACAACGTTAAACCATAGAGGTAACTCTAAGACAAGTAGGTCCCGAAGAAACGTGCTCAACTTTTTGGCTCACCTCTGGTACTATCTTCGGTCCCAAGCTTGTCGAATCACCCCTCGAAACATAGGAAAAACCAATAACCCCTCATTTTATCTGTCAAACTTTCATAGCGAATCAAAACAAACATTGCATAGTACTAGAATTTCGACTAGAATAGGGTACGTTAATCGTTTGCTTGGGACCAATAGGCTACTAAAGTGGTGAGCCAATTTAAAATCGTTAGTTTCGTATTGATTGTTGGTTAAACAGCAGCGTTGGAAAAAAAAACACGCACACCAACATCTATGCATGTACGAACCCACACCACTGAGCGGACGGTACAGCGCAAATCAAAACACGAAGCGTTGCCATCACTCAGCTTCGGCAGCTTCCAATTGGGTTTGCATTCACCGGCGTTGACAAATACCTTCCTAAGTTATAACATAGGAAAGTAATCATTATTGCGACGTAATTTTTTTAATACAATGCATGCTGCGTTGGCCACGGAAGACGGCATGTTGTATTACGTTTGTTTAGCAATGATTCTATACGTTGTATTTCTAGTGACTGGGGTGTTGGAATAATTACACTGTGCCACAAGGCTTTCTAGGACTGGGAAAATTCACTTTATTTGACTTTCTCGTGGTCCACCGAGTAATAGTCTCAAACAAACTTATACCCTAACCTAACACGTCCTAATTTTGTGGTACCACCCTCTTTATGAATTTTGGTATGTTGTCCCGATGCCGGTTGTATACTAAAGCATGTTACGACATTGCCATCCAAGAATTTTTTGTAGGAAATTACTTGAGGGACATTTTTCAAAAATATCAATAACAATAAAGTATGATTAATATCATCGGATTTAGAGTGTTTTCATTCTTTTGGGTCGTTAAAATAATTACTTTACGGAAATCTCATCATACCAGCACATACTATGGGTTTTACAGTGATTTGAAAAATCCCCCAAACGAAGGGTAAAATAACGAGATATCGTTTTTAAATGTTCTAGAAAAATGTTCCTCAAGTAATTTTCTACAAAAAACTACTGGACGGCAATGTCTTAACATGCTTTAGTTAGGCAGTGTTCGACCGACATCGGGACAACAAACCAAATATCATAAAAAGGGCGGTACCACAAAATTAGGACGTTTTAGGATATAGGTATGTTCAGGACTTTTACTCAGAAGTCTACCAGAATGTCAAATACGGTCAACTTTCTCAGTCCTAGAAAAAAAAGTTCTGATTTGTTCGAGGATTTGTTGCACAGTGTTATTTAGGGAGAGGGAATGTTTTTCCATGTTTACTTCTATGCTTATAAAGATTATTTTAAGCAATAGCGTCGCAAATCATCATTTACTATTAGAGATTATTTGCATTTTAATGGTACCGGTAGTGACATTGGGCACTCCTTCACTCGAAAGCAACACATTACAAGCCCATTATGATGCGAGCTTGGATGTGCGATCTGTTGCATATAAAGTGGTAATGAATAAAATCGGATCGGAGCAATCACAATGAGAATCTTGCTATCGTAACATAATGATGATGACCAACGTCTGCGATGGCATCTGTCATGCTGACACCTGTCAGTTATTGACCCCAGGTGGTGAAGCTGGCGGGACAGTTTCAATGTACACTCACCAGATTGCACTGCGATCGCATAAGGGTGGTGTATCCATTGCCTTGTTCGAGGAATTGATTAGTGGAATATCTTGTTAATTGGATATCTTCGGTAAAACGCTTGTGTTGCAAATTTTTCGCAGTGAACGGATTTTAGTAAAATTCGTTGCATATAATAGAACTTTATTTTGACTTATTTTGATTAAATTAGTTCAAATTTGGGAAGACTAATGATTACCCGATTTGGATCCGTTAAGCACTGTGGAGCGAAACTTTCAAAATTTGTATCAGCCCAATGCCCTGCGAAGTCGAGAAAATTTTCTGCCCGAAAAACCGGGACCGGGAATCTAACCCACCGCATAGCTGCGCTTTGCCGACTGAGTTAGGAGAGACCCAACATAGCTTAGCTACCGCAATTATGAGTAAATGGTTCTATAAGAACTGCTGTACATTTACCCTATCGTAGCAGACAATACCACTCCGTTACCAATAAAGCCACAATCGCTGCATTCAGTAATAATCAAACAGTCACATGTACCAATAACCATGCACCTACGCTCACTTTTTTTTCGCAATAGCTCATTAGTCGCGCACCAATCAAGCTCATCAGACATAAACCGGTTGGCATCTAGCAAAAGACATGCAACAATGGCTCAAAATATCATTGATGCTGTGTACGTTCGGCTTCCTCAAAGAAATCCGTCCTAGCGAGCCGTTTATTGTAGACTACTTGGCTGGACCATGGCGCAATCTTACGATGACCGAGGTATTAAGGATTATTGCTTAAAAAGCCAAAGACACATTCACTAAACAAAATAAATATGTTTTTCAGGTCATCCAAGAGGCTTTTCCCATCGGAACCTATTCATACCTGGCTCAACTGGTCATCATATTTCTGATAACGGATATGCTTCGCTACAAACCACTGATTATAGTGAATGGCCTCGCCGGAGTCGTAGTTTGGAGTATGCTACTTTGGACGACCTCGCTAGCATCTCTCAAGACTTTAGAAGTGTTCTACGGAACTTACTGTGCAGCCGAAATTGCGTACTTCAGTTACATCTATGCCAAAGTCGATAGAGAGCACTATCAGAAAGTGACTTCACATACGCGTGCCGCCATCTACAGCGGGAGATTTTTTGCCGCTGTATTAGCGCAGATTTTAGTATACTCCGACGCGATGGATTACAAACAATTGAACTACCTATCAGTGGCGGCACAAATCAGCGCTACATTGTGGGCATTGTTTTTACCATCGGTTAAAACTAGCATGTACTTTCATAGAGCGTCCGTACCACCTATTATAGGATCACAAACCGATGAAAACAGCTGCGATAACGATAGTTCAAGCGAGAAAAATTCCTCCAAATCGCCTTCGTTCAAAAGAAAGATACTGTCAGCTTTCGTGCTGATATGGATGCACTTTAAATCATCATTCACCAATCTTACCGTTCTTCAGTGGAGCATTTGGTATGCACTGGCCATGGCTGGATATATCCAGACGATCGGTTATATTCAGGCGCTCTGGAGTGCGGTCGATCCGGCCCAAGAAGCAAAATGGAATGGGGCCGTCGAGGCTACGGTAACACTGCTAGGTGTTGTAGTTTCTTTGCTTGCTGGATACATTCACAGCGGCTTCTTACGACCACGGAGTAGTCTATTTGCACTCTCCGTCCTATCCGTCGGCCAAGGCGGTGCCATTCTGCTAGCAACCTTGACCAGCAATCTCATAATCAGCTACGTTGGATACATTGTATTCGGGGTGTTGTACGCCTTTACCATAACGGTTGTTAGTGCCGAAATCGCCAAAAATATCTCAGACGATAGCTTCGGTCTTGTGTTTGGATTTAATACGTTGATAGCGTTATCGCTGCAGACAATGCTGACTTATGCCGTGACAGACTCAGACGGTTGGTTCGCTCTTGATGTGATAGGACAATTCACCGTATACGGTTACTATTTTGTAGCACTCAGTGTTATCTATCTGGTATTTCTAATAGGTGAGATTATAAACAGTGCTATGAGTAGAACGATCTAGTGATCACCCTGCTATTAGGTACTTAAGAGAGACTATTAGGTACTTAAGAATGACCCAAACACAAAGTTCAAATTTTAGGATTGAGGTAGAAACAAAAGCGTAGACTGATTGGTGATGTTAAACATAGACTGAATTTTCCTTGAGTTACTTAATACTGGAGAAAGCATTCGAAGGTTTTCGAAGTAGTAAAATAAAGCCTATTATGCAGAATAGTATGTGAACGTATTTTATTAATCGATGCTGAGTAGATCATTATCCTATTATCCTCACATGTACCATGCAATCTCACTCTCATGTTATTATGCGATACAATTTTAAAAATTAAAAAAAAATGTTTCATTGCCAGCGATTAAAACAAACACAGCTTATGTCTAATTTTACACGTGTGAATTATTTTGTTCGAAATTCTCAAACAAAAGACCACCGAGCATTTGTTATGACTTAAAAAACACAGGTATACCTCGATTTTATCGATCAGCATTACCAATAGATGGTGTTGTTGGTTCACGTCGGACGTCAGATCGAGGTATACCCGTAGAAGAACATACTTACACATGTACAAACACCAACCGATGCGATGGGACAGGTCAGCCTGATCAGCGTTTACTTGGCACCGATGACAAACTTTTCGCTTGCAACGGACTTTGCGCTGCTTGGCCGCCCTAGTACTCCTCCGGAAACTGCCGCCGCAACCACACTGGAACTGGCCAGTAAACCGACTGGAGTAGGTGTGACGGCAGAACACGTTACGACCTTTTGCTCAACGGAATTAATAGTGGCAGTTAGTGCGTTTGGCTGGTGCGGCCATTTGCTCGGAGCGTTACTAACGATGGTATATGAAGGTGGACCTCCGGAGACGGGATTAAGCATCTGGAATAAAGGACAAATTATTATTTTATTACTTTATTTAAGAGATTTTCACTCTGGTTCGCCTCTGGAGGAGAGTGAGAGGGCGCCAAGTGAGGCCCATTTGCGTTGCTATGTTTAATGGTTTCAGGTTGTTTTAGTGGTTTATTAGTCGATGTCAAAAGGTCGTTGGTCGGGTAGTCGTTGACTTGGTTGTTTGTCTCTTTTGGGGCCAATAAAACTGTAATGCTTTACCATACAGCGTGTGGTTGTACCGTATGGTTTATGTTAAACCATAGCGGTTGTACAACCAGATTGCAGTGTGCAAATGTTTGATTATAAAAAAAGGAATACGTTTAAAACAATTACTAAGAAGCAAATCAAATTAACTAATTTTAAAATGACAGCAAGAGAAATGATGTTCTTTGTGCACTACTTTCCTTTGATTTTTGAAGAATAAATACATGAAAATTATAAAGTATAGAATTTTGTTTTATCGTTGATTGAGTTAGTGGACATGATTTTGCTTCCTCGATTTAACGATGAACTATTTTGTACTTTAGAAGAACAAAGAATTTGCCACCACACGCTGTTCAAAGAAATATTTGATGAACATCATAAACCAAAGTACCATATACTACTTCACTATGCTCAGACAATTAATAGGCCCTCCGCGATACACATGGGGTTTCCGTTTTGAAGCATTGCATCAAGTTTTTAAGAAATATTCTAGAAGAAACATCTTGGCGTAACATATGCTTTACGCTCTGCACGAAAGCTAATTTTATTTTTATACATGATATACGAAATTTGAATCATTTAAAGGACCCTTTAGTTTATAAAAATACTGTTAGCTTGAGGCTTATAGATTTACCTTAGTTTTCGTCATTAAATTTAACTAGTGAGCTACTAACTTCAAGCTTAAATGCTTCATGCACTGTTACCTACAGAGGCACAGAGTATAGAGTTCAAGCTGAAAAATGCATTAGGCCCAAAGTAACATTGACATATTCTCTTCGTCGACTTTCTCTTTGCATCCTCACGGCCATGTTAAGACATTCACATCTATTTTTAACACACAGCTCGACGAAAGACGCTATTATCTAGCTTCTAATACAACTAACACGACTAGAAACGGTTATGTACCCATGTTATTAACGAAAGAGAAAATCGATGAAGAGAATCGATCAATGTTACTTAGGACCTAATGCATTGTTCAGCTTTAGTTGGTAAATTTTTAACAAAGTGAATCTTAAATATGAATTTCATAGAACTACAACAAATCAAAGATTTACTAATCTCAAACAATCCTTTAAATGTTGCATGTCAACAATGGCAGATCGAAGAACATTCAACCCACTTTGCATCCTTTAAAGTGAACAGCTGCAAGTCACTATTTCATATACTCCATGTAGACCTACTTCATGGACCTCCAATTCATATGTACAATGTTCAGGGAAACAGTTACATTAGACTTAAGAAATGCTTTATGTAATCAATTATATGACATTATTTAATCATAGTTGAATAAATAGGTTTCAAATTCAATAAACAAAAAAAAAAAGATAAATTATGAATCGTGAATTTAATGATAAAAACGAAATCAAAACCATTCATTTTTCTATACCAACCAGCTTACCAGAATACCACACATACTATACCCCACAGTTTAATCTATCTATCTATCTAAATATATATATAAAAAATTAATTTCTGTCTGTCTGTCTGTCTGAAACTACTGAACCGATCGGCGTGAAATTTTTTAAAGAGGGGTTTTTGGGGCAGGGAAAGGTTCTTATGGTGGTTCGATACCCCTCCCTCCTATTTAAGGGGGGGGGGGGGCTCCCATACAAATGAAATAGAAATTTCTGCATAACTCGAGAACTAATCAAGCAAGTGGAACCAAATTTGACATGTGGAGGTCATAGGGGGTAGCCCCTTAGATAAAGGGGCTACGTACAATATAGCATGCTTGTTTTTAATTGACACATAAACTCAAGCTAATAGTGAATCCCGAGCAAGGCAGGCACACTCAGCTAGTTTACTATAAAAACGTGCTCATTTTAAACGCAACTGATGGTTGAACTATTAACTTGGAATTATTATTTTTTTTTTTTCATTTTGTTTATTTGGCAGGCTCAAATGTTATAAAAATAACTTAACGGAGCCGAGTAACATGGAATACCAATTTTGGTACATAAAATACAAAAAAAAAGATATAAAAATGCATTTTACTATGGGATTTTTCTTGGTGGCGATCGAAGCGACGACAAAGCGATCTTCTCCCGTGCACGAAACTTCTTTCTTTCCCGAATTTGTTCCTCATTTTCATTGAACCCGAATCGTGATCGCTGCTGCTGCTTCTGAACGTCGTTTCCTGTTGCATGCTCTCCGCTACTCCCGTTGGTCGTCACGTCCATTTCGTTATTTTCAATCAACATCTCCAACCTCGTGTCCGTTTCCTGGTCGCGAATGACTAACGACTCACCTTCCACCATTACACAAGCATACGTACTGCTGCTGTTTTGTTTTCTTTCACTTAGCTGCTTTCCTTTTTCCTTAAGTTGCTTCTCCGGTTCCTTCCGAGCCTTCCGCTTGGGGCAGAAAAGCTTTAGGTGTCCGTCCGCCTTGCACAGAAAACCTTTATGTTTGTTGCCATCATAAACTATATTTCCTTTGCAATTGAAGAAATGTAATGACGTGGGGATTTCCTTCTTCATATCCATATATACACCGCGTATCCCTGTATATACCTCAAAACACAGATCAGTTGGAAATTTCTCCCGGATGATGCGTTTAATTTTTCCATATTTCCCCAGCACTTTATCCAGCTCGTTGTCGGGTACCTCTGGTGGCAAGTCATACACACGCACATATTGAATGAATTCACCAGCATGCGACATGCGTACCTTTGCCGTCGTTCCATTCGCATAATGAAACTTTGGCGAAATTTACAATCTCTCCGATGTTTGGTTTAGCATCACAATGGCTGAAGCTAAACTTGATGGTGTTTTTTACTTCACAAATCTTGCACCGTAGCAACAAAAGGCACCGAACTGCTAGCAACGAACAAAGAGCAATTATATAATAGCGAGTCTCGAAACAGGCTATCGCGTGGTTCACACCGAAATAAAAAATCGACTGTTGCTGTAGACAGCTGCTTATTGTCATGAGCACTATGAAGCATAGTAGTTTTTACTTTAATGCATTGACATGATTTTCATGGTAAAATAGACAACTTTATTTTAAAATGAATATCAGATGTAATCTTCACAAATTTAGTTGTGTTATGTATTTGAAACAACCCTTCAATATAGTATTATCATAGAGGTAACTCTAAGACCACTGGGTCCCGAAGAAAATTATTATTATTTTTGGCTCACTCAGTACCAGAACAACGGTCCCAAGCAGTCCCAAGCTATTAAACTCACCCCTGCATGTTCTGCATGAATCCACACACCCCTGATGTTATCTGTCAAACTTTCATAGCGAATCAAAACAAACATAGTGTAGTAATAGAATTTCAACTAGAATAGGGTACGTTAATCGTTTGCTTGGGACCAATAGGCTACTAAAGTGGTGAGCCAATTTAAAATCGTTAGTTTCGTATTGATTGTTGGTATTATCGACTGTGGAACTGCTCTCCAGTGTACCATGGGAAGCAGAGGGTTAAGGGACGACCGCACTGGCATCCAATATCGTACGAGCCGTAAGTACTGACTAGTGTCTCTCTCATACCGCCGTAAAAAATATCGTCTCGTCCGATATCGGATGCCAGAGCGGCCGTACCTTTAAGGTGTATTCACATCTGAGCATGCATTACCGGAGCGGAGCATGAGAGAGACAACTAGTTTTTTTTTGGCTCTCGTAACTTCGCAAAATCTCGCCCCGCGCGTGAAATCTAGACTAACATTTGAAAGGGACGGAAGAGCCAAAATGTAAACAAACCATATTTTGCCACATGTAGAGAGAACAGTTCACAAACTACTCAATAAACACGAAAAAGTAGAAGAAAATATCATTTCAAATCATCAAAAACGTTTCCTCCTACATGGCGTATTTCCAATTTTCAGCTCTGTGATGCATCTGGTTGTTACGCCTTGCATCAGAACTACGAATCATATTGTTTTAATATGCCAAACGTGCTGATTCTGTAGTAAAGGGTGATACGGTCAAAATTTGGTCAATATCAACTTGACGTATTTCTTTCAATTTTGCATTTAAAAAACCTGAACACCCCTCATTTTGAAGGTGTGTGTGTGTAGAATGTTGCTCCTATTTTGATTTTGGAATTCACTCTTCAGTTGTCAAAATGCCGTCCAAGCAAGAAGAGCAGCGTATCAAAATTTTGCTCGCGCATCGCGAAAATCCGAGCTACTCGCACGCAAAGTTGGCAAAATCGCTAAAAGTTGCCAAATCAACCGTTACAAATGTAATTAAAGTGTTTGGGGAACGTTTGTCGACAGCCAGGAAGTCTGGATCGGGTGGAAATCGAAAACCGGAAGCCGCTGAGACGACAAAGAGAGTTGCCGGTAGTTTCAAGCGAAACCCTAACCTCCGAGTTGCCGCAAATAAGCTGGGTGTATCGTCTACAACCGTGCATCGAGCCAAAAAACGAGCCGGACTATCGACTTACAAGAAGGTAGTGACTCCAAATCGCGATGATAAACAAAATACGACGGCCAAAGCGCGATCCCGGAGGCTGTACACGACGATGCTGACGAAGTTTGACTGCGTGGTAATGGACGACGAAACCTACGTCAAAACCGACTACAAGCAGCTTCCGGGACAGGAGTTTTATACGGCAAAAGGAAGGGGAAAGGTAGCAGATGTTTTCAAGCACATGAAACTGTCAAAGTTCGCAAAGAAATATCTGGTTTGGCAAGCCATCTGTACCTGTAGCTTGAAAAGCAGCATTTTCATAGCTTCCGGGACTGTCAACCAAGAAATTTACGTGAAAGAGTGTTTGAATAAACGTCTGCTGCCTTTCCTGAAGAAACACGGTTGTTCCGTACTGTTTTGGC